TAGGTAGAAATTATTTCCTATTTTAGTGTAAATGGGTATTAAAATTAGTAAAAGGCGCGATACTGCTCGAATCTGTAACGTCTTTGTGTAAACAATGCACGCGCCATTGAGCCAATGATTGACGCCGCATGATATAACGTCATTTGTTGAAGGCAGTCATCTTTTACAGAGATATTAGAAGACTTTCTAATACTCTGTGAAACAGATTGTATTTGCCCCTCAAAATCAGCCGAATAATTGATGTTCAGGCAGCGTAAATGGTTCTGCATTCTTGCTAGTGGAAATGGTTATGTCCCGGCTTGGAGCTAGCTTTTGCCCTCAGTGGAAAGACTACTCTATTGGGATGGCTACGCTACGTTTATAAGATGATGTTACAAATATTCATTAGAGTATGTATACTGGTCTAAGTACATAGTTTATGAAGTACAGGTTTCTCTTACCAAGACAACACAGGGATATACAACAGTTTGGGGTCTGCTGTGGTCCATTCCATTTTGCATATGTGCATGAAGAAGTACTGTGTTAGTCTTAATATACATGATATATGAAGTATGTTTCATTTCATTATAGATATCAAGTTTATGGTCAGTATTTTGACAACTTTAAGCCAACCCCAAGTACCAGCGGTACTGTAGGTTATGTTGTTACTATTAATAAGAATACTGTATGCTTTATCTCTATGAATTAAAAACCTAGATGAAGTCTTGCTATGTCTGTAATCTAGCTGAAGTAAACTTTATCTCTGATTGAAGGATATCTCGTGAATTAAGAGCTAACATATTTAGAGCAGATCAGATGCTCTATTTTTTTAAAATAAGTTTTTGGGGAGTAACCTAACATGGAATGAAGAACGACCTTTCACTTTGGCAACTTGTTAAAAAGGTAATTCTTGTTCATTTGAGAATAATAAACTATAACACATACTTATGGAAGAACAATTACTAATTTATTTGGGCGACGTTTCGAAGAGTATTCTCTCAACGTTTTCAAGCAAGAGAATACTCTTCGAAACGTCGCCCAAATAAATTAGTAATTGTTCTTCCATAAGTATGTGTTATAGTTTATTGCTCTATCCAGTTACTAAATGCCTCTAAAAGATCTTCATTTGAGAAGTTGAAATAGTTTCGTATGGGTTTAAAATGTTTTTGATGATATGAAGATATCTAGAAGGTTCTATAAATATAAAGATTTTCTTAGAATTTTTTTTTTTTTTTTTTTAGGAAAATGCATTTATTTTCTACATAAACTTGGAAAAATAAATAATAGATGTATGAGGTTTAAATTCATGGCCTAGCTCATAGGAGTCAGGTCTCAATTTTTGGGCATAACCACAGCTCTTAACTTGTTACTTTAAATAGCTATTATTATAATGTCAGGAAGTAAGTCTTTTGCTAAATGTCTGTCATTGAGTCAACTGGTGTGGTTTAGATTCCCTGGTTGTACGTGACAAGGAGTATGGTTGCCTGACCAACCTCGTGGGTTTTCTCTGGGTCCTACAGTTTCCTCCCATTACTAAAGACCCCTACGCGCAGGCGAATTATTGAAATAAAATTGACCCATATGTTAGTCCCGAAATGACCTAGTTTGTGTCGTGGACGTTTATTACATTTTATTTTTGGCTATCCAAATATTTTTATATGTCATGCCACGTCTCTCTAATCTTTCACAAAAAATGACAATATTGGTCTTGAAAAAATGAAAAAATAACAAAATTCGTATTTCAAAAGAGTAAAACATCTAGAACAGGGGTGTCAAACTCATTTCGATCCAGGGACCACATGAACAAAAATTTTAAATTTAAATGGGTTGGAAATAAACAAAAAATCTAAAAACAAAGCCAAGAGTCCTTAACACAGGTAATTTTATAGACTGGTTTCCAAATTGTCAAGATACATGTATAATATTGAACACAAAGTTCTCTTGTATTACATAAATACAATAAAGAAGTCTAAGAGCTTTACTGAAACCGGATAACAATAATAAATGATTTCCACTGCTAGTTTCTAAGAATTTTCGACACGTCAGTTTGTTGGAATTTGTTCAATGGGCCACATTTAAACCCTTGGCGGGTCGCATGTTTCACACCCCTGATCTGGAATGTGTGTATGTTAAATTAGGGTGCGTTAGAATGGAATGCTCTAGACAAACTATGTAGTCAAGAAAATATAAATTGTTTTTTAATTGCTGCTGTTCGGTGTACATATTAATATTATTCTATTATAACAAGTTATGTCAGGGTACAATAGTTGATTGTTACAGGTATAACTTTTAAACATGTTCAATTGACGGTGTGTCCACTGATCGTTTACTACATGTATTACTGAGAGAATTTTATATTCTTAAATCAGCTTATCTTTCATAATATAAATAGGGTATAAATTTGCTGTATACATGTATTCCAGAATTCAGCGAAATTCACTTATAAACACTGGAATTCACTTTGCAAATATCAGCATTCCCCTGAAAGTCCTTCCTATTTACTTATATTTTGCATTAATATTAATGATGAATTACTTAAAAACACCAAAAATCACCAGAATTCACTTTAAAAAACATACACATAAGCACCAGAATTTGCTTTCAAAATATCGGCATTCACATTTAAGACCTTAATAATAATGATAATAATAATAATAATCTATTTATAAAGCGCTGAATTATTCAACAAACAATTGGTCAAGAGCGCTATGCTAATTCCTATTAATTAATATTTTGCATTAATAATAAATTACTTTAAAACACCGAAAATCACTTTGAAACATATAAACACCAGAATTCAGTTACAATATATCGGAATTTGCACTTCCTATAATAATAAATTACTTTAAAACACAGGAAATCAACGGAATTCACTTTGAGAAAATCAGAATTCGCCCCTAAAACAATTGTATTTACTTATATTTTGCATTAATATTAATACTAGAATGTATCTGATGTAAGAAATTAAAAGAAATAAAATAAATCCCATAAAAACAAGTTAAGAACTCAATCATTAATACATCTAGCTAGGCGGTTAAAACGATATTTCCAAATGGTCAACTCAGGAAAGACAATGTGCTTAGAACACAGCAGTATTCCATGTAAAATGTCCAACCAAACATTTCTCCAATGTGGAGCAAAACGTTCTCAGTGTACATGAGTAACCTTAGAGAATCCAATAAGTTTATTCGAAAATTATCCCAGTAATAATAAGCCAGTCAAATCAAGTCTCATTAATAATGGTTTGAATGTTTTCATACATAATCCGTTGTAGCATGAAGCAGTTCAGATTGTTAATTGTGAGTTGTCTTGTACCACTAGTGACTAGTGAGACGCAAATACACAGGGGTCACAAAATATAACAACCCATGCTTTCACTATTTCGGATTAATCCATACAGATTATTCCTTAAATCAACACCTGATTTAATTACCTCGTCGGGTAGTGCATTTGTGCTCAAACGTATTGGAGGTTGATTTGAATTTGAATTTCGAAACAAACTATGGCAGGGATATTGGTAATAACATTTTGTTATTGCCACCGCCTGACGACAGGGCCCCCCTGACGATACCCATGGAGGGTTTGAAATAGTTGTTTTACAAAATAAAACAATGAAGATCTGACTGATAGCCATCTAAGTTGATAATTAGTACTACATGTATATACGTTTTATGAATTATTGATTTCGCACCCATAAAAGTCTCTTAAATCAATATCATCCAAAGTCTTCGACATTTAAAACACAAATTGTTTGTCAATTTAAATCAACATTGATGTTGTGATCTTACCAGGAAAAGATGGGCTTCTGATATCCAATATTTACGACAAAATTTTTCCATTTTACCATTGGTACACGAATCGTGTACCACAATGGGTTTCAACACCATTTGTAACAAAGGACTCGAAGAACGAGGGTAGACATATTCCAAAAGTCATGTCATACGGTGACACTATATTCTTATCTGGAGAGCATGCACAATAAATTCTATCGGTGTAGACTGGAAAAATCAAACGCTAGAGATTGCCATTCGTTTGAGTCGTCTGGTAGAATGGTTAGCATGTGCGCGCTGTATCATAAAGTCTGTCATTGAGTCAACTGGCGTGGTTTCGATTCCCTGGTTGTATGTGACAAGGAGTAGGGTCACCTGTCCAACCTCGTGGGTTTTCTAAGGGTCCTTTGGTTTCCTCCCATTGCTAAGACCCATACGCGCAAGCGAATTATGGAAATAAAATTGAACCATATGTTAGTCCCGAAATGACCTAGTTTGCGTCGAGTGGACATTAAACTCCATTTCTCTCTCTTTCTGATGTTCAACCTTATTTCTATAAAACCATATTATGAATTACAGGTGGAGTGATAAATTTTAGTTTTGACAGTTCTCTATGAATGAAACTCGACCTGTTAATTTAACTTAAATGTTAGTCATTCATGCTGTATTGTTCTAATAACATACATTTGTTTATACATGTTTCTACTTGGTATGTTGTAAACAAATAATTAATTGATTTGTCAATCACTCTCAGTCATCAAGACTTTTTATAATGGATGTCTTAATCTGTCTGATTAACGGTCTGGTAGAACAAGACTAGGTAGAGATATTTCAGGTCTTAATCACTATAAGACTGTCAGGCCATAGAACAAAAGAATGTGTATAGTGTGACAGTTGATTTGAGTAATATATAAGCTAAAAGAGGTTCACATGATTAATAACATATACTTTCGCAAGGTTGGGTATTTTAACAAAACTTCATTTATACCACAATATGTTCATCACTGAATAAGGGGTTTGATTTTAAAATCACTTTAGTTCTTGTTTTTTTTTTGAGTTTTTTTTGAAATAATGTAACAAATGTCCATTTGCTATGATATGTCTTTACAGTACATGTATAACATGGCCAAGATATTATACTATTTTGTGTTATATTTTGATTATTGTTTTCAGGAGATATTACTTGGAAGGTTTTATGTTTTTATTTGTGAACTTGTCATTTGATATTTCTATATTTCTTGTATTTTTCAGACTGTATTAAACTGTTCGTTAAAATCAGATATAGAATATTTCCGAGCGAATCCAAAATTTTTGCACTGGAAGACGGACGACAAGAAGTTTGGGCTTACATTTGAGAGTTCGTACGATGCCAAAGCTTTTGATAAGTACATGAGCAAAGCAGTCACAGATTTAACATTTAGTAAGATTTTATAATTCTTTATGTAATTACATAGAATCTGTAGATCTTTATTAATTACTGTCCCCATAATATCTAAAGCTGTTTATAAGTCATGTTTACCTGAAAATAAAAAACACATTACTTACATGTATTAACAGTGAAGTCATTGGCAAAATCTCTTACTTAACAGTATTAACACACAATTCAATTGTTAAGACTGCTGAAATTCCTGGAAGTTAATTACTGTGTTCTGGTAGGAAAACACTAAACAGTCCCTGGTTTGGCCAAAATGAGCCGGAGAAAGATTTCCCAAGTTTCAAGAGTCTAGTAAGAATGTGTGTCTAGTTGTGAACATGGGACAAAAAGATCATAAAGAATAATACAATTTATATATTAATGAAATTCTGTGAAAGAAATGGAAATTGTCCTTTAAAATCAAAACCTGATTTTATAATGCATATTTAGCTTGAAATGCCCCTGGCAAAGTCAGTTACATATCGATCATTATTGCATTTTGTATGAGCCACCTTAAATAAGTAACAATGTACCTGAAATTGGGTTTCAGTCATTGATGAAAAAGGCATTTGGAAACTTTTTCCCTTATCTACCTGGGGGTTGGGGTGGCCGATTGGTTTAGCATATGTTAGTCCCAAAATGACCTAGTTTGTGTCAAGATGATGCTGAACACAATTTCTTTCTCTCGCCTATCTACCATTGTATCACTTTAATTTTATTGAATTCAATGTTATCACAAAATAAATGTTATTTTAAAGTTGACAACATATTGCAGTATGATGATGGTAATTTCTAGATAAATTATTCACCTGTATTTGGTGAAATATTTACACATTGAAATGTAACTGGTTCAGTGTCAATTTGATACAAGGACATTAGAATTTATGTGTTAACATCAATTTTATGATGATACATTATGTAGCAACATTATTCTCATTTTTATTGCCATGAATTTTGATGCAATGCATGTCAAGCTGAAACATACCCTGGTAGTCTTATTGTTTTGTTTATTAGTGTCCTAAGATAAACAATTGATTAAAAAAAATTCACTATTTTTTCAAAATTTACTGTTCTCTTATTCAGATATGTCCCCTGGTTAAATATCAAATATTGAAACTGCGAATCATTCTTTGTGATTGTTAAGTTCTCTAACAAATGTCACCAAGTTGCTTTTTGTACGCCCAAATTGAAATGGGGTTGTATATTGTTGTCACCTCTGTCTGTCAGTCCATCCATCTTTCCCGCGTCCACTAATACTTATTAACATACAGGTTATTTCTTACCAGCTTCATAGTCATGTAATTTTGTCCATTATTACCCATGTATACCAATGTAGACTATTAGATTTAAGGCTGGGGGTGGGGGGCATCAATTGGACACAAAACCAGACCCAACTTTTCCTAAGTAAAAATTTTGTGTAGATTACGTTGCCGAGTGGTAATCAGTTCAGCGTTTTTGATATATTCAGGGTCAAATGATGTCATTTACACTGAAAGTGAATACGCAACCATTCTCACATCATAAAAACCTGCTGATAATGATTGAAACTAATAACTCTTTCAATAAAAATGTAAACTTGCTAAATCTTACCTTTGTTCTTTGTGACCTAGGAAGTCAAACGGTCAAAGTTTCAGTTTTTGCACTAGGAGGATTAAAAGCAATACACGGCGTAAAAAGAACATAGGTTAATTTAGCAAGTGAAAGAGTGATAAGTTTTGACCATTTTCAGCATGTTTTCTAGAATGGCTGCGTAGTAACTTTCAGTGTAAATGACCTCATTTGACCTTTGTCCCTGAATATCTTGAAAACACCCCAACGGTGGACTGTTCGTCACTCAGCATCGTATTCTACGTAAAAAAAAAACTGTTGAAAAATTGGGTCTGGTTTTGTGCCCATTTGATGGACAACCCCCGTCCGCCCCCTCCTCCCCGCTCACTGAGCATCCAGACTATATCTGATTGGTGGATCAAACAATGAGATTTGAACTGCCATTTTAGAGAGATACATGTATGTGTAAGATGTCAGTGAATTACAACATCAAAACATAATCAAACATAATTAACATGTGATAATTAGATAGTTATTTTACCTTGAACTTAACCAATAACTGGTTTTAAAAAAATGAGATTCACAAAAAGTAGGTTAACTTAAGCTCATATAAAGATTTTATGATCCCAATGAATAATAATAATTTTATGAGCGTGGATTATGTCAGTCATCATGTTGCAATGGTATTTAAACTTAATCAAGCTTACAGTGTATAGCAACAGCTTATTGCTGCAATAAATTTTGTTATTATAGGCATACCGTCATTAGTTATGTTTGTCAGCTCAAGGGGCGGCAGCCCATTATAGAGTAGCGGTCGGGTTATCGGCTGTGCTGGATTAAAACCCATAGAGGCCCTAAGCACATAGAAGAATTTGGTGCCCCCATGTAGGATACAATTCAAAATGAAAACAATAGTGAACCATAAACAATCCGTCAAGCACGTGGTTACAATTTTTATACGCCCACATTGAAATGTGGACGTATATTGCCGTCGCCCCCGTCTGTCGGTCCGTTCTTGTGAACGCTCTAACGCAAAAAGTTATCATCCAATTGTTTTAAAATTGATATATGTTGTTTACATTAGTGAGATGAAGAACCCTATTTAATTTCAATAATTTCTGTTTATTACATCTAGAGTTATGGCCCTTGTTTCACTTTGTTGAACCTTGTGAACGCTCTAATGTCAAAAGTTAACATACAATCTTTGTGAAATTTATATGCAATATTTGAATTGGTGAAAGTAAGAAGCCTATTGAATTTCAACAATTTCTGTTTATTACGTCTAGAGTTATGGCCCTTGTTTCACTTTATTGATCCTTGTGAACGCTCTAACGCAAAAAGTTATCACTTGATCTTTGTGAAATTTATATGCATGATTTAAATTAGTGAAACGAAAAAGCCTATTGAATTTCAGCAATTTACAATAATTACGTCTAGAGTTATTGCCCTTGTATGAAATTTATATGTATCATTTAAATTTGTGAAACAGGTCTATTGAATTTCAGCAATTTCCGTCAATAATTTCTAGAGTTATTGTGATTGTAAACGTTTGAATGACAAAAGTGATCATGTGATCTGTATGAAATTTATATGCATTATTTAAATTAGTAAAACGAAAAAGCCTGTCAAATTTCAACAATTTCTGTAGATTACTTCCAGAGTTGAGACCCTTGTTTCAGTTTGTAGAACCTTGTAAACCCTCAAACGACAAAATTTATAATCTGATCTGTATGGAACTGTCTTGTAAAGGCCTCCAATTACCTACAAAGGAATAAATATACGACAACCCTTGACGACCGCTCGGACGATTTAGCTGCTGTGGGCGTATGTTTTGTTGCCTGGCAACCTATCTTTCTGAGGTTTTATACATGTCATTATCAATCTGTTTCACAGAGGATTAGGAATGTCTTCTAATATCTCTGTAAAAGATGACTACCTTCAACACGTGATGTCTCATCACGTGGCATCAATCATTGGCTCAATGGCGCGTGCATTGTTTACATAACACCTTACTGGTTCGGGTGGAATGAAGCCTTTTACTCATTTTAATACCCAATTACACTAAATAGGAAATAATGTTTACCTACAAATACGTCAAACGTCTTTATTTATTTTTCTTATACATAAAAAAAATGTTTTAGAATTTAATTTGTCGAAGGAAAAAAGTTAATATTTGTAGCTCATTAAGTCGCATCGATGTCATCATTATCAGTGACTGTCGCGGTCTAGCGAATATTCACTGCTGATCAGTGTGCGTCATTATATATTGAGACAAAGAAGGTAACACTAAGAAAAGACAAAAATAAACCAATGAAAAACTGATTAAAAGTTCATGATTTATTTTTAGATTAAATATTTTGAATTCGTCATCAAACAAAGCAGAAATAGTGTGGCGCTCCCTTCCTATGATGCCCTAAGCATGTTCTTATTTTCGTGGGTACTGGCCCCTCGAATAGAAAGTCCCTGGTTCGAATCTTGGTGGGGTATAAGGAGAACCGCAAGTATCTTTCATGGAGTAGTGCCTGCTGGGCTGATATGAAAAGTGTCTCGTCGGTCGGATAGGATGAAAAATCAAGATCTACCCGTGCATACATTGGGGTGCATATGAAAGAACTCTTGGGAAGGCAACTTCTTAGGGTAAAATTTTACCCCTTGCATTATATAGCCATTGAAATAAACATTGCCATATGTTTTAGTCTCAAAATCAGGAAGTGTTACATTAAATAGTGTTATATTCCTTTTCACAGTCTACAGATTGAGAATTTGACTTTGGTATCATTCAAAATTATTGAGTTTTCACTCTGAACATGTAAATGATATGAAACCATGTCATTGTATCTCAGTTATTTACCAAATTTTTTAGTTACCAATACTAACTTCTTAGTATAATATAATCTGTGTTATGTTTCAGGTTATTTGAACGGCTGTCCCACATCTAATATAGATAGTGACGATGCTGTGTTTCAGGTTGGTATTTCCACGTTTCTTAAAACTTTATTTATAGCCAATTTAAAAAAGGCCACAAGAAAGTGTTGTTTCTAGAGGTTGAATCATTGGGATATTTATGCGATTTAAATGCACCTGATGTGAATTTGGCACTTGACCCTTGTTGATTTACTTTGTTGCCCCCACATCTTCTAATACCTTGACCAAGTTCAGTAATGAGCATTTTCGCTGATTGCTGGATGCTTTATTAAAAGATGAATGTGCAAGTACCGGTATTGATAATTAATAAGATACAGACAACTTTATGGATACATTCACTAGATTTATTAACTGCAACGTTTCAATGAGGGTACTCACATCTTGTCAAGCAATGATAATGGGGAGAGTACCTTCATTTAAATATACTAACTGTTTTTCTGTGTTTTTCAGTTGATTGATCTTCCACGAGGTCGAACAGGAAGTTCGTCTCAATCAGCGAGTACAACATCTACGACGACGAGTAGCCCTTCCCCGCGATCCCCTACGTCTGTGATACCAGGCTTGCAGGAACCGTTTTCTTTTTCTCCACAAAACAACCATCTTCATCGTGTTCATTACATAAACACTCAACATCCTCGCCAAACTACTACATCCTCTTCTCCCAGTGTTAAAAGTGGTTCGCAAAAATCTGACAGTTTCGAGAGCAGTAGTGGACTGGACGACCCGTGGGTCCGAGGTGACGAACCAACTTCTCTCAGTGGAAAGTCGGATCAGGGATTACTTGATGTTGAACTTTGTAAAGAAGATTCTTACGTTTATTTTGCAAAAAATAAACCGGGAGCACCTCACGAGTACAGCTACCCGAGTTTGGAGCCGACCCAGAAACCACCCACAAAACGCGAGTCAAGCTCCAAACGACAGACTTATGTTTCTCATAATAACCCTCCCATATCTCTGCCAATCAAAATGAACACTAACAAAAACCAGTCGCGGACATTATTGGGCCAGCAATCTAGATGTAAACATTGTAATGAGATATTTTCTGTGGAGGAAAATGTTCGCGGAAGTTGTGAGGACGGGCCTGATCGGGTCACAAAGTGTATAGAATGTATAACGTGTGTTGTATGTGCTCATACCCTGAACTACCATTGTCTATCGGATGCGGATGGTGAATACCATCACCCGTGCCAGTGTGACCAGAATGACAGCGGTAACTGTAAGAAATGGACTGCCATGACAATTTTATCGTTTTTTCTCCCCTGTCTATGGTGCTACCCTCCACTTAATGCCTGCCATAGGTGCGCAGTATCGTGTGGCTGTTGTGGAGCAAGACACAAGGCTACGTGACCTATCCATTCGGATATAACAGATCCCTGACCCCCTCCCCCACCTTTTATTCAATATATGCACGGTATGGAAGTGGACTCCATTTAGCCTTGTTCGATAAATATTTCTTCGGAGTAATGGAGAAACAGTGTGTGAATGAGATGTAATTAAAAAGATTATTTTGTGAGAACACGAATATGTGTGTGATATATATAGTATATATATATGAAATATATAACGTTTTTTTAATTGTCATTTGTTTGTTCATTTAAAGGATTTTTTTTTTTTCATTGTTGATCGAGAAAATGGCAAGTTTTGATATAAATACGCTATTAAGCATTAGGTACCGTACATTTAGATCCCATATATATATATATATATATTTAAAAACCAGTGCATACTTTATGATTTTTGGACACCAACATTGTGGGTTTTTTGATTGGACTTTGCTGCAGGTTGTGTCATGTCTGCTGTCTGCAGGTTGTGTACATGGCACAGTTGTTGCCATTGTCAGGAGATAAAAAAATGTTGCAAGAATCTCATTTTGTACTCTGGTGTTAATTGTATTATAGGCATATCATGTCGTTATACATCTTTTTAATGCCTCGGGCTGACAATGATTGTATTATTACTGTTGGTTTATCATTTCCTAAGTTACTGATTGCAATAGTCTTAAAGATTATAACAATTAACAACCAGCTCAAGAAAGAGGATATAGATTAATTTCTTTTTGTCTATGCACCGTTTAGCAAACAGTCCTCACTGTTCGACTATTAATATACCACAGTTTTATCAAAAGAGGAGCTAACCAATCATCAATTTGTTAACAAAAATACAAAAATAACTAATTTGGTTGAAAAAAATCAATAAAGATATGATATGTAAATTCAGTATACTAATTTTGATTGGTAGGACAAGCCAAGGTATAATATAATCAATTGTCAGCTCCAGGTTAATATGAAGGTGTTTATTATTGAATTTTATTTTTGAAGAAATTTGTTTCATACACTGCTTGTTATGTTAAAACTATTTTGTCTAAAAAGAATTTTTAAATGTGCTAATATTAATATCATCTTTTATTATTATGAGTAGAATATTGCCAATATGACAGAGTGAAAGTTAATAATTTTATTTTATTAGGTAAAGCAATTCATTATAATGTATTCTCAATATTCACCTGTTGCAAATATGAAAGTCTAACAAATAGTAATAATACACAAGTTAGGTTTGTTACGTTTGTAAATTTCCCCAGGTTGTTGTGAAGTGGTATCAGGTGTCATAGAAAAGGGTAAGCATTCTCTGCCTAGTACATGACATTCATCACTAGTTATATCACTTGACTAAGTACAGTACTCGGCAGTTCCAGTAAATAAAATTTTCATGTATTATAGAATACAATTCAAATATTCAAAACACATTATTGACAACTTTATTATTCCTGCTAGTATTATCAAGTTTCAATAAAAACAAATCCTTTAGTGCTATATTAGTTTCATTAATGGGTAAAACTATATAAATTCAAACCTAGGTCTGATTTATATATCCTAATATTTCAAATTTAATCATAGTTCTTCTGTCAAAATCAAAGCATGTTTCAGGACATCCAGAAAAATTCTCTATTTGAAGTGTTTATTTATTATTGAGATTTACAGTGAACATATTTTGGAAATGGGAATTTATATTAAAAACTCTTGTATTAAAAAGATTTACACCCTTTAACATATTTTGAAAATTTAAAGCTGAACTGTCTAAGTGTAATCTTTAGAGGCGTTTAGTAACTGTCTAATTGTAGTAATGATAATCAAGAAAATAATAGGCTTAAAAATATCAGGTCTATAATCTACCCAGCAATTTGTATGTTACAATAATTTTAATGATTGAATTTTGTTCATTTTAATTTGTGAATAGTTAATTTAGTTATGTGATTTTTTGTTATCAAGATTTTGGATTCTACAAACTTGTTTTTCATTAAGGTCATACAAACAAAATATTCTTGTCTTCAGTGCCTATCAATAAAAAAAGGAGTTTTATTTCGTTATTCACAAAAGATTTGACATGAGAGAGTTTAAGAAATTAAGTAGTGAAATTGATGGTTGCCATTTCCAGATAAAATAGTTCATTAAATATTGTGCCATCTATGATTGTCGATAACACTGCTCAGTCTGCCTCTGAATACAACCAAATCTGGTTAATAAAGTTACTTTCTTTACCATGTGGAATATGGACATTCAGTAATTAATAAGTGAAGCTGTTTTTATTTTTTTGAAATATAAACAGGCAAATGGTCCTTTTTATTTGACATGACAGTATCTAAATACCAGAATATTTTTTTTATATGACCTAATTTGTGCCAAATTATATGTAATTAATACAATTACAGATTTTTATTGATTTCCAATTCAAAGTTTTGAAGGAAAGTTGAAGCTATAATGGTTGTTTTTACATTAAGAAACTAATACCAAACCAGAAAACAGTTCTTAAAATTATCACTTGGTTATGACCTTTCCCTGCAGATGGCTGACTTTCTGTTCAATAAAAATAATAAGGATAAGAAATAGTAATAAGAATAGTTAAAGCAATTTATGGTGGTTTTTTTATGATTTTGTTTATTTCGTGTTTCGAATCTGTTAAATAAAATAACACCTGTCAGAGTTGTAGAGAGAGAGAAATGGGGTTTAAAGTCCACTTGACACAAATTAGATCATTTTGGGAATAACATGGTTCAGTTTTATTTCATTAATTCGCTTGCACGTAGGGGTTCGAAACCACTCCACTTGACTCAATGACAGACCTTATGCTGCAACGCACACACATTAACCATTTGGCCACCCACCCCACCTGTCAGAGTTGTAAAGTCACACATTCTCATATTTATATGTAAAATTTATTATGAGATCTACTATAACAGACGACTTTTAGAGGAAGTAAGGATAGGATATTTGAACATATGGATTTTAACTATCAAATTTAATGAAGTAAAAATTAAAATGTAACAGCTGAGCTCTTTTTTACAATTTTTTCATAGGACTGTTGTCATTGTGAATTTTATTCTTGGTAATAAAACAGAGTTTTCCTATTAATGTCATGTAATAAAACAGCAAGTAATTAATAAACAATAAAATGGTATATTGCAGAACAAGAATATAAATAGATATTAAAAGTAATAAACTTCCAAAAACTTAGAGAAAATTTTAGTTTGCAATATAAAAGTTTGTGTAAAAATCTTTTAATGTTAGTTTAAAAAACAAATAAATGTCAATGTTTTTTTCAATATACAGCTAATAAATTTTATTTTTCAAAAGTTTTAAGAAATACTTGTATGATTTGTAGGTTGTTAAATTGAATTTGGTTTCTGTCTTAGAAAAGTTATTGTTATTATCTTAAAATTCTATATAATTGTTGAAAGTCATGGATTATTTTAATGTGTATTATTGCTTTATTAGAAGTAAGTTATGCTAAATGCTGTAAGTTTTAATCAGAAAAGTTTTTGTCAATGTACCAAACAAAGTTTTGAAAATGTATAAATGCACACATAACTTAAAACAGTCGTTATGCTTTTTGGAATAATGTTGAAATTTATCCTGTACATTACGACATGGTTAAAGTTATGATTTCTCGTAACGAAGATATTAAATGCTTAGTAAGAAAATTAATTTTTGATATTTATGTACCAGGACCCTGAATAACTAAAAATGAAATTGGTTTGACTTTTTGATGTGCTTTAAAAATTGTATAAAAGATTTACTTCCATCTTTGGCTGCACAACTGAATTTTCGTAAAGATTTGGATCTCCTGTATATAACACAATATACATTTTGGTGCTCGGACAAAAACTCTGTATGCAATTTGTATATCGATAATTTGTATAATAGTGCCAAGTCAATTACGTGCCAGCTAGGCTTTTACAGGCTGAAGGGAGAGCACTCTCTACTTAAGAAAGACTACCATTCTTTCAACAATCAGTTTTAATATTTTTTCAAGCCAGAATTATTCTGCAGAATTATAACAATATATCTACTTGTATGTGCAATTCGTTTTGAAAAATTTTGTGTTAAGCTAACAAGATTATCAAAGCATCTTTTTGATACACTTTGATGTGTTGAGGGATTGATTAATAAAACAGATTACTGCATATTCAATTGCCAGTAGATATATCTTTCAATAAAAAATAAAGACTTTGCAGTAATGCACGATTTATAGTTCTGTTGCTGTATTTAAAAGTAAGGAAGCTTATTGGGTTGTAATTCGAAACAAGCGGTTTTATAGTTTAGTATTCATTAATGATTATATTTCAGTTGAACTGATTATGTAAGATATTTGCTGTAATTGCTTAATATTGTTTTGTCATGATTAAGCAATGATTTTTGTTCTAAATAGGCTTATTATTCTTGTCCAATTCATTGTATATTACTTACTCAAATTATTTTACAAGACAAAAACAAATTTTATAGAGAAAAAAAATCATGAAAATATTAATTTGACAAAATTAGAATTTTCAGGGTATATGTTGGGTATATTATATCCACTGGAGATAACAATAATATTAATTTACTATGTCAATCTAAAAGAAAAGGGTTGAGATTTTTATTTGGTTTATCAAAAATGTAGCACTATTGCTCAAAGTTCTCGCCAAAATTTATAAAACAAAAAATGCTGGGTTGTGTTTTAATTCTCTACTCTTTCTTTTAAAATCTCTAAATAAATGTAGCAAGCAATATTCTTGAGAAAAAAAAAAGATCAACATCAATTTTTCAAGTATGTGTTCCGGTGCACTTTTTTCATGTGTATGCAGAATTTGTTTTTTTATATGTGCTATTATTATTATAATTAATGATGTTTTTTTTCTAATTGCTGTAAGTACAGATTGCGCTCCTTTGAAAGGATGTAGACTATGTTTATTATTATATAAATAGTGAGATTTATATTTTTCTCTAGCGTTTGTAAGTGCGATGATGAACGAGAGAGAGTGAGTGAGAGAGAGAGATTTTTTACTGATCTTGTGTTATAAATGTATGCATTTAATAAAAATGATATAAATTTGATCTTCAGGTGTTTAGAAGAGAACACATGAAGAGTCGATGTAAAATTATCTACCAATTATACAGAGATTAAAAACAAACTAGAAGATATTCAATCTTGTTAACTTCTCTTTTTATTTTCACACAGAAGCCACAGTAGCTCAGCGAGTAGAGTGCTGGCTCAGTATTTAGGTGTTCACCAGGACTTTCCGGGGCGTGCCCCTCGCCCCCCCCCCTCGTGTAAGTGGTGTAGGATTGAGGGTCTATCAAGGGACAATGTATAGTCATTTGAATGGGATGAAAAACCAAGGTCCCATAAACACATTGGCATGCATGTAAAGAAACCTTGACAGTTGGGATTCGAAATAAGAGTAGGCAGTAGCACCACTGTCCTAACAAAACTTACCACATAACACACTACATGGCATATGCCAGTCTTCATTAGCCAGTCGGTGCTTTAAAAGTAGTATGTTAAACCTCATTTCATTTTACAATTTAGGAGTTCCCCGAGTTTCATCACAGTGTTCTCCGGGAAAGTTACTCTGGATTTTCCATGCTGGTTTAGAGGTTTCCTGGTGCTGTATGGATGGCCATTTCAAAGAATGCTTGACTGATGAAGAGTACTTGAGAAGGTGGCTGTGAGCTCTTAGAGGGGCCACAAGCTAAAAATGCTATTTTTTGTAGAATTTGCAACCATAAACCAGGAAGTTACAGTCCTATATGTCCCCATATTGAAAGGAACCAAGAGCTTTTAACTTTAAAGCTTCATCAAAATTGGATAAAAATTGTGACCTCTAGAGTGTACACAACCTTGGCATTATTACATCTTATTGCACTATTTGCGTATAGAATAGCGGGAAGTTTCGGTCCGATATTCACGGAATTCGAACTCAACCCTAATTCTGGTGTCAAAATGATGTTTTTAAAATCAATTTAAGCTGTAAATGCGATTTTTTTGCACAATCAGGGGCCATAATCCAGGAAGTTAGGGTAAAAGAACAAAGATCTTTGGGATTTAAACAAGTTTCATAAAAATCAGATAAAAATTGTAACCTCTAGATGGTCCGACAGATGCAAATAGCGTAAAAGTATGTAATAATACCTTTACGGTCCAATTTTCTCAAAATTAGAACTCAACCGTCATTATGTGGTTGCCATGCAAGATACGCCAATATTTTGCAAGAGTTCACAGAACGTGATTTTTCGTACAATCAGGGGCCATAATCCATGAAATTTGTTACGGTTCGACATGCAATTTGGTGAGGGAGGACTCCCCCTGGACTCGAAAAATTTTGATTGGTCTCTAGTCATTTTGGCCTATATCTGGGTTTTGGCCCCTGATTTTTCGTACAATCAGGGGTCATAATACATAAGTTAGTTAAGGTTCGACATGCAATTTGTTGAGGGGCAGGGGGTTCTCGGAAAATTTTGATATATATATACATGGTCTCTAGTCATTTTGGCCTATATCTGGGGTAACTGGAGGTCACTTTGCTAAAACACAGAAACTGAGATTTAACACACCAACATGTTATAACATACCAAATTGAAATACATTTACTACCTGTACCTATGTTAGTTTTAGATGTACACGATTTTGTCAGGAATTCGGATTATACTAGTCTGCCTACCTAGAGCGATCGATAACCGCGTGCATGGTCAGTAGTGAATATTCGCTAGGCCGCTACAATCACTGATAAGGATGACATCAATGCGGCTTAATGAGTCTCAAATATTAACTTTTTTCCACCGACAAATTAAATTCTAAAACAATTTTTTGATGTATTAGATTAGAAAAATAAATAAAGACATTTGACGTATTTTGTAGGTAAAAATTATTTCCTATTTAGTGTAAATGGGTTTAAAATGACTAAAAGACAGCATTCTGCCCGAAGCAGTAACGTATTATGTAAACAATGCACGCGCCATTCAGCCGCATGCTGTGACGGCACGTGTGAAACAGATTGGCCCAGAATAGGCTCTGATTACCCGCTGGGTCCATGACGGTGACGACATCCTCAAACGGAACAAGGACGGGCATAGGCCTACATCACCCATTTGGCCAGAAGCCTATACCGTACCTCCGCGCGACTTGACAAGACCTCAGACCCCCCCCCCCCCCACACACACACAGTGTTTTAAATATGACGTTTGCTGCTAAATACGTGTTCTTAGTGTCTAAAGCCATTTACGCAATGCGCTATTCAGCATTCCGAGTAAAGGGAGATAACTATTTTAAGAAGGATAACAAATTATGGATTTGCCTCCCTTATACTTAGCATTCCACAACTTTTGTGGCAACATCTCTAAATTTGAAACCATTTCAGATATCTCTTAGTCATACCTAAATGATGTGCCGATTAAACTTAACCATAAGTATTTCGGCGAAACGTGGTGCATAGAAAAGAAAAAAAAAGAGAAGGGTTGGTCCTAGTTGGATACAAATGGGTTCCTAAAAACCAAGGACTGAACTGAAGGAGTATAGGCCTACTATCAGTAGCTAAAAACCAATTTTGTTTGGGGGCGTGGGGGGGGGGGGGGCGGTCGGATGGCCGAATGGTTAGCACGTGCGCGCTGTATCATAAGGCCTGTCATTCCGGCTGTAGCCAACGTGACATGCCTTACAGTTACAAGGAGTAGCCGTCTGTCCAACCTCGTGGGTTTTCTCCGGGTTCTCCGGTTTCCTCCCACTGCTAAAGGCCCCTACGCGCGAGCGAATTATTGAAATTAAATTAAACCATATGTTAGTCCCGAAATGACCTAGTCTGTGTCGAGTGGACGTTAAACCCCATTTTTTTTTTCTCTCTCTCTCTCTCTCCCAATTTTGTTTGAAGGGAGGTAACTACAGTTTAAGCGGATTTTCTCGTTAAATCCCGTCATTTTGATGAGATAATTCGAGATTTGTCAGACATAAGCACTGAAAACGGAAAGAGACAATTTTAATGAATGTTTTAACATATTAGTTTTGAGAATATATAAAAGATACATCAGGTATTATAATTTACTTATTTATTTATTTTTAGAAACTATTATTTACTTGATATGTCATGATTTTATGCCTGTAATGAAAGTTCAGACAGGATGACCCTCCTACTGCACTAGTCCGAGAGTGAGATTAAAGGACAATGTTACAGTTCCCCAATTTTATGTTATAGGCCTACAATAGGTTAAACAGATTCCACATATAATTTTGAAGTTAACATCTTTCTATGGTTGACTCACAATGTCAAAGATCAAGTTCGTGATCTGACGCAAATGCAGGAGACGAGTTATTGTCAATTATTGAGCGAGGGAATACTAAAAGATACTCTGAGGATGATGATCGAGTTTCGTCTCGTAAATGACAAGTTTCTAACATTCAAGGTTGTTTTGGCTTTCCCAAACTCAGCCGTAATGATAGTTTGCCTTAACTCAACTACATTTATGGTTCACCCAAACTGATGTATATATTATATTCTTGGAGCGCACATGCTGTTGGCCTATATAACTTAAGAGTAAGAGGGTTAATTAGCTGAAGTGGGGGGGGGGTGTTATTGCACATCAGAAAATGAGACATAGTCGCTTGTCCAGCAGACCAGTTGATTTTATGGGAATAGGCTAGCAGTCCAGGTGATTTTATATATTTTATAATGTTCTGATGGAGTTGTCGATGGTAGATTTTAATAGCCCTTATTTAACATTACTTCATATGGCCGATCAATTATTAAATGGGACGGCACCCAATATCTAAACCAGGGATCTTAATCGGCTGTTTTTTGTCGGCTTTAGCCGATTGATCTTTAATCTAGCCGATTGGTAAAACAATGAACCGGCCACTAAGGTATCACAAATCAATCTACTTTCGGCCGATTTACAAAGAATTAATTATCAGGCCGATTGTTAAAACAATGAACCAGCCACTAATGGTATGATAAATCAATCGACTTTCTGCCGATTACAAAGAGTTAATTATTACTCGTTGATTAAGAAACCCATCAAAGAGTCAATCATTACAATGAATACCTTTTTGTCTTATTTCATAAATAAACAAGTTAATTGTGGTAATCATGCCAAGTACTTGAACACCTTGCAGAATGACACCAGGAAACGTAAACGAGATTTAACTGAAGATAGTGATGGCGGCGTTGACCTTGAACTTCAAGCATGCACGTCGTCAATGGAAGTTCCAAAAGCCGGAGATCCTCCCACGTGCAATATAGGTCAACCAAATTATCGGCAATAAAAGACCGTATTAATCTGACGATCATACATTTGTACCTGCGCAGCAAAGAAAGACGATGACAGAACAAAGAGTTTAATTCCCAAATCTATAGAAATTGTTCCAAACCGGGCGTTAATCCGAAATGCGTATTCCATAGCAAAAAGAAACATTGCCATCGAAAATTATGAACAATAATTGAACGATTTGAAAGAACAGCAGGATCATGAAATGACAAAAAAAACTATATCGTGATTTTAATTGTTGTGGTGAATTTATTTCTTTAATATCCAATGAAATTGAGGAAGAGATCCTCTCAGAGTCAGATATCTGAACTAGTCCTGCTGCATTAAATCCCGACAATTGTATACCGGTAATGCTAAAAATAAACTAATCGGAATCACAACAATTGGCCACGTGACCTTTCGCCCGTACAGCATATTTCCGAGTTCCGACTATACACGGAAACCGATTTGTGCTACTTTGTTATTTATATACTTATAGTTTCTAGACCAAGAACCCGTTGTCATAACCCCAGATAAGGCAAGAAAACGTGAAAATAGTGTATCATCGCCAACTAGAAGACTTTTGAAAGCGACAGTTAATGCGGTTGTGTATAGAGTTGTAAGTCTAACTGTGGATTACAAATCACATTATGGCATGCACTCCAAATTTGCAAATTGGCAAACCACTATTTTTATTTATATGCCTTTCCCAATCGACTTAGTATGGTCATGAATATCAAGTATGGTACGGTATCAGACTAAGAAAGAAACCAAAAATGACCACAATAGTGTCCCTGTCAAATGAATGCGATCAGGCGGAAGAACATTAAACCCTCTTCAGGCCTACAGTAATACTTGTTCAGTAATGCCAACAGTTTGGTCATTTTGTGCTGCCATAAATACTATTC